GTTAGAAGATGATTAACTTTTGGTCAAGCCAGCAAATCAAGCCCAAGTACTGTGACAACCAAAGAGAAGGGAGGACTTCCACTGCACTGTAATTTCAATTTTTTTCTCCCATTGACATGTGGAGACATGGATCACCCTTTTCTAAAAGAAGATCCACCAAGATAAAGACTAGCATGTGACATTTGAGTACACTACGAACAGGACTCAAGAGAAGAGCACTGATGAATTGTTGTCTTTTTTGATTGTGATGATTTTCACAAATGGCCAATGTTGTTGCATTCCTTTTCAATATAAAATGAACTGACAACATCTGGGACATTGGCTACCCTCTCAGTAAGGTTCCAAAATCTTCACCAGCTTCAGATAGAGTTATGGGGTACACTGCAAGTTGCTTGTTTTGAAATGAAGCATAAATATTGTTCTACAGGCTCATATAAAAATGCTAAAGCCAACCCAGCCTTAAACAGAATTACACTCAAAGAAAACTGCATCTTACTAATTTTAACCTCACGTACTAGTCAAAATTATGGGCCTTTGAATTCCAGTAACATGAACGCTTTAACTGTCTATCATAAGCAAATATCCAGACTTGTTTTTAACTGCATTTTCTGGTTCCTCTCTGACAGGTTCCCATATTATACTTACATGGGGTCATACCACCTATATGATAATAATGTATGTCCTCAAACTCAGAAGGGAGCCTCCAAAATACTTAGATCTAAATGTAGATCTTCTCATCCCACCTGTAATTGCACGGAGACAGCACATAGTCTTCTTTTCCTCTATAACCCTATACATGCCATAGATAGTTGATCTGTACTACCATCAGAGCACTCAAAGGAAAACACAAGCAGATCAGTATCACCACTGTAAATTTCAGTCCCTTCCAGCTGAAAGTCAGTCATACATTTGAACTACCAAAACACATGAGTCACCTAGACTTAAAAGTTTGTTGTTTTAGAGACCATGACAATGATTAAAGGACAATTAAAATAGCTGGAAGGGGGGGGGAGGGGGTGGGAGTTGACAGAAACAATTTATTTTTCCTCTTTGCTTGCAAGCAAGCAAAAAATCATAAACATGAATTTCTACCAATAAAAATATTGCAAACTATAATCTTGTTTACATTTGTTATAGCGAGATAACACAATACTGCACATGCTGCTCTGAAAATAATTTTCATACAAATTAAAAGGTCAGCCTAAGTATGAGTTTTGTTTACTATGGGACCTGGGTCACTAATTCATCTTTGTGAAGCAGCAGTTGCACGACAGTTAATTTTTGGTCAGAATTAACGAACATGATTACTGAACTACCTAAACGTGATTAGTTAGGTAAGGCCTGGGACCAGAGACCACTGAGCACCGGGGCCATCCACCTATATTTGTCTCTGAGACAAGAAGGTATGGTTCAGCCACAGATAAGGTTCCTGTTAAAGCTGAATTAACTTTTGGGACAAAAGGTGAACATAAATAAGAGCAAGATATTGGCTCAGGAAGACCACTGCCTCCTGATGTATCTTCTCTGAGACGTGCAGAAAAAGGTATCGGAGGCAGTGACAAAGGTGAGTGTCACGATTTGCAGATACTACTGACACCTCTGCTCCGAAGAAGAGCTAAGGTAAAGTCTAGTACTGTCAGTAGCCATTTGGCTATGATGATGTTCAAAGCCAGAATAAATTACAGGGCTATGGCAGTTCAGCCCAGCAAATACTAGCACCGAAAAAAACTGCTATCAAAGGGTTATGTGGCTTTATTTACATCTGGAATTAGAAGAGGGTGCTGGCCTACAATAAAGGATAATGCTGGAATTGGATTTAGGGTTGAGGCTTAGGCCAGCAGATATTGATAAACTGCAGCTTAGAAAGCGCCTCCAGGTTAATAGGAAAAGTGGTGCTAGCTTAAACCATCTGACTGCAGAGATCTGTGGGATAAGGAGTGAGATAGCATTAAGATTAGGAGTGGAATTAGGGTTTGAGCATACTCTGGAAGAGGTTGATAGACTGCATCATCTCATTTCAGTATCAGGGAGGGCCACACGCCATGATAAAGGCACCACATGACAGGACTTCACACACCCTTAGCAAGCCCAACACCACCCAGCACACCATGCCCACTCTGTCTATATCCTCTGTTGACCCAAGGCTCCCCAAGCCATACATGTGCTGTCAACCTGATGCGTCCTCGACCCCTCAGGATTACTGTATATGTACACTTCCGTCCTTGTGTATGGGCACAGCAAACCTGGCACTCCCGAGATGTACAGATTTCCTGTACCGTATGTGCACGGTGTGTATGTACCGTGGATGGGGGCAGGGAAGAGGGCCCCAAACAAGGAAAGCATCTGTATGAAAACATCCAGTCCTTACTGTCTCCATTTCTCCCTTCATTTGTGCTAGGGATGCCATATCTGAAACACATCAAAGACTAAAAAGTTAAGCGTCTGGCAACCAACGTCTCCTCTCTTCATAGGTACATTTTTAAAAACAGTGGATCAAGTCTGTGCAGCAGGTTGGTCCTGCCAAAGAAATCAAAAGCAAAATCAACCAAGTATACCAAGAAGCAGCACAAAAGCTTGACTGTGTCTTCTCCAAACAGGAGCTTTGCCAATGATGATCTTGGCAGTACTATTTAGCACTTACCCTTTTCCCAATTCTTGGGAACAAGTGTCCACCACATTACTCAGCATTTTCCAGGTTAGGGCAGGGTTCCGGATTGACTGTGCCTACTTCACATTACAGAAGAACCTGACACATACCTATCTCTGTGTTTTAATCACAAAATAGGCTTGCCCACATTAGTGATTAATGGTGAAAAATTCCATCTTAGTGGCAGACAGGCCTTGGACCTGACAATGACACTTTCTGGAGAAGGAGGAAACATATAATCACATTTTAAGGACAAAATCATGTCCATACTGGAGACTATATAGTTAAAAACCTTAAAAATCAATATAAGTAGCACATAGCCCACCTCTGCCATTATCCAAGCTTGCAGTTTAGAGAATGCAGGGTAGGCAAGAACGACAAGTTGCTCAATTCAACAAGCAAACCTGCTTCAGCATTCAATACAAACTGCAGAGGAGAAAGCTTCACAGTGAGTCTTGCCAAGAGGGAATTACAATAATCGAGCCTCATGGTCACAAGGCCACACAGTACTGTTGTGAAACAGTCACTGGGTAAATAAGGGTGTAGCCTGCAACATAGTTTACCACTGGTGGGTGGGGGAGAAAAATCCAAAACAAAACGTGGTCTTACCCCCGAAAAGGTATGAAGTCAAGAAAAAAGGATCTTACAAATCCGCACTGATGTCAAAAATGTGGCAGAACAATGGTGCCATTCAAGTACTGTCAATGCACTAACAACACAGAGTAGGGAATAAAGGCAAGTGGCAGAATTAAGCCTGCAGAAAACAATTTTGGCAAAAGCAACAGTAGCAAGAAAAGACAATTCCAAGGGATGGAGGAGTAAAAGTTAGGATGATGTAGAAATGGTAGCTGAACTTCAGTTCACTAAGCTGTCACAAAAGTGGTACATTTCCAGAACGATAAAAAATTAATAGCAAAAATGATAAAATTTAAATTTAAGATGCTGATTTTAAAACACATGAATAGGCAGGTACCTCAGACTAGCAAAGATACATATTAACAAAGCAGAACCAGAAAGATGCCATTCAACAGCCTTAGCAGTTGAGACCTAAGCAAATATTTTCTTAGCCTTTTTGTATTTCAGGGATATGTACCAGTGTAACTGAAGGAGGTCAATGAAGTTTTCCAAACGATATTTTCTTGTTTGCAGAAATAAAGAACTTGCAAAATAATCACTTCTACAAGCCACTGCCCTCAGCTCTGCAAATACAAATGCCTCTTCTGCCTTTGCACTAAGCGAAACTTCCTCTAATGATCCAACTTTGATTGTCCCACCAATTCACAGCATGTTTGCCAAACGGGGGGAAAAGAGGATATATTGCATCTATCTTCTACGTTACACCGTGCTGTTTAGAGCAGCTTTCTTATAGGGGCTTGGCAGGGTGCTGCGGGCCACTTCTAGGGAAGATGACTGGGCAATGCAGAGCAGAAAAGGGAGGAGAAAGCAATGCATCCTGATGTGCTATCTGGGACACTCTTCTAGTCTCAGCTTACACCGCTACACTCTGAATTTCAGTCTAAGCTTATGGTCCTTAGATACAACTTGCATTTATGAAGAAGCAATATACAGGGTTTAATCCCCTGATACAAGTCAGCATAAAATGTTACAACCTATATTAAACTCTCAGATTATTTATGAGGTAAACCAACTGTACAATTTTTGTCAAAATCCATGCTTATTAATACCTTCATCTGTACTAAGAGCTCATTGGGGTCTAAAATTTGTACTGAAGGATAGTCTATAGAAAATAAACGGTTAATGCTTCAAAGTAATTGTTCACAGTAGCCAAGATAACATTAAAGAACCTGTTACAATTAAAATTCATAAGCTATATTTCCAAATCTCACAACTCAGGTCAAGAACTGCAACCATAATGATTGTCAATGAAATACTGTATCCTGACTCACTCCATACAAATAAGCTATTCTTATAAAAGCACTCCTCTGCTTTCGTAGAGGAGGGTGGCAAAGGAAGAAACTGATAAGGAATAATTAAACTAATACCGCACTGATGAAAAGGTGAATTAATTGAAACAGGCCATGAAGTATCCAAGTGTACGCAAAGTAATTCAAGAGACGTTACACTGGAAGGCTGACTATCCAAGTGCATGGATGAAATCAAAATGGGATATTAATGGCACATCCAACGACAAACTTTTCATGGATTTTCTGTTGCTTACTGTCAAACATGAAATACTACGGCATGTCATTTTTGCAAGCAAACCTTACAGAATGACCAGGGAAATCAGAAAATGATACAGCCAGTATCACACTGGACAGTAACACAGACAACAGAGTTGATTTTCTCATTGATAAAACCAGTGAAGTATCATATAAACTGCCCATTACTGTACCTTCATGACATCTTTATAGGAATGAATGGCCTCAACTTCCTCTTTGTCATCATCAGTGTCATCCTCCACGCCTTCATCCAGAGCATCATATCCTTCATCCCTACTCCCATCTGTTTCTGTGGTATTAGTCATGTGGTCGATAAGCTGCTCCAGTGGAGGGCTTAATTCCCGTTCTTCATTGTCCTTCAAACCATAGTCCAGGGCTTTATATATAATAATCCCTAGTGATTCAATAACCTATAAAAGTGAAAAAGAAACATTGATTAATGCCATTTACATGAATGAATAGGTCAGTCCAGGAACACCCTTTTCTGGTGTTTGTATAACAAACTTAGCAACTGAGAGGGCAATAAACATAAAAATTAAAGAGAAAAATGGTCCTCTAATACCTACTGTAGTATTTCAGCAACGCAGCACAGAACATACAAGAGTAGGTCGTACCACATACCTACCGCTTTCTTATTTCAAAGGTCAAAATAAAAAATTGTAATTTAAAAACAAAGCAGGACCTGTTTAAGATTATTTCCCCTTTTTCCTTTTAATATGACAAACCTCAAAGTAACATTACTCTAGACTTTGTATGACTGTACTACATGCACATGACCTTTTTGAGGGGAGCGGGTGGGAAGAAATTAAAAGAAACTAACATGAGATGCCTACCTCCTCCCACAAATTAACACCACTTTGAAACTGCCCATCAGTTTCTGCATCTCTTCATCAGCCTGAGAGGTGTCTGGACACAGCTGTGGACATCCCAATGTAAACTCACTGAGCACTGGGACATCAGCCCACAAGAATTCCTTTATCTGTTGCACAGCCGGTGGAGGCACACATATGCCACTGAAACTACCAACAACTGGATTTCATAGTAATGAGGTAGAACCTCAATTTTTCGTTGAACTTGAAGCTTCTTTTTTGTGCTCTGTCAAGAGCAAAGCACACAGACAACCGCTTATTCAGTGTAAGCTAGCAAACGAATTGTCATGAACATCCCAAAATGCTAAATGCACATTTTCTTTCTTTCTAATTATTTTCCTTATTAGTAATATTGAAGCTTCTAGGATTTTAAATATTTAAAGAGATGTCATTTCAAACTGAGGAGTTTGGAAATAGGTATTAATGGAGAGGGAAGGGAAAATGGACCTGCAAGAGGAAACCACAAGAAGGTAGTGTCGCTGCTGGAAGATTCTTGTCTGACAACGGAAGTAGGACTGGAGTTATTGCATGTAATCTCTGATCTCCCTTGTGTATTGTGATGGCTAGCACGTCACACAAATAGCAGACTCCAGTGTAGGAGTAGTTGGCACTAGAGCAACTTTAATAACAGGAGCATTTCTAAACATACCAAACCTTGTCATCAAATGCCATTTTCCCCTCATCTGGCTTTCAGTACTGTCCTGGTCAACACACTTTTTAATGCAGATTTTTGAAATTCTATTTGGGTAAATAGGACAACACAAATGGATTCTTAAAACATTAGACTTGACTCCAGCAGCTTACTTATTTCAGCACAGTAAAGTATTTTTGGTCCGAGAGGCTGGAGGTTAGCAAAGACTTAAAATGATATCCTATTAGTTTATCTAGATAGACAATTTAATGAACTAGCTGTAGTCTGACAGCTTTACACTTGCGTACTTCATTCCTCTGTTGAGATTACTTTGCAGTGCAAATTCACTTTGCAAGACAGTGGCTAATAAACAAACAATCAAACATAAAACCCGATACATAAAAGCCACCCTTTTATAACATATTTCCAATAATTTTGATAACTTGATTCAATATAAATAATTTTCCTCTGCTATTCTCTTGAAATGTGTTTATATATATTTGGAAAATATTCTTAAAATGCAGTTAATTAATTAATGAAGAAAAAATTGTCTTCATTTAGCTCAAAGAACAGGTTCTGACTTGGGAAATGCTATTGAGACAGCAAAGTATACCAGGGAAGCATCACTCATACCCTTCCCCAGTCTTCTGCCATGACCCACTCTGGAGACAGGACACTGCACCATACAGACATTAAAAATAGCAGTAACAGATCAAACTTATGTTTGCAGCATATCTGGCTTGCTTCTTAGAGAAGCTATTTTGTAGTAACTGTCTTGTAAAACTTGTATTGTTAAAATAAATCTGAAAACATGGAAATTTCACAAAATACAATATATTCTACTGGTAGACACGTATGTTTCCTGTAACTCAGGTTCTGAGAACAATCTCAACATATACACCTTCAGCAAATGAAAGGGGACAAAGAATACCAAGTTAATTCCATTTTGAAGTAGACCAAATGAAAGTGAAGTACGATTGAATAATCGCTTTGATATTTTAAACACTTGAGAGTAAACACAATGTGAGTAATTTCTAACTTTAATAAAAACTAAATTTGAAAGAGCTTAGCATACATGAGGAGGATTGAAATGTCCAAATCAGTTGCAGAAAAAATAATGTCTTGTGCTGTGATGGCTGCTGAACACAGCTTCTGGATTTTGCTGCACCAATGCTTCAAAAAAATAGAAGGGAGGAACAACTAAAGAAAGTGTGCTTGCTCTGTCTCCTTCTGTTTCGGAAGAGGATTAAGGCATTCAAAAGCACCATGGCTAAAACTGGATGACAGCTGCTGCTTTCTTTGATATATCAGCAGTAGGGCTTTTGCAGTTCAATAATATGGTTTGTGCATTTTTACGTACTATGAACAGATTTCGTAATACATGCAAAGCTGACACAACATGAAAGCCTGCAACGGCACCGATTCAGACCTGTATTTCAGTCTCCCAGCTCCTTATTTAGGAGTCGTGATCAAAACCATATTTATTCAGTGTTCCTGCTGAAAGACAAAGCAGCAAACATCTTAGCTGAGAAGCTTTGCTTTGCCTTGCATTAAAACTGAAAACATTCAGCACTTTCAGTAATAGTGGTTTACCAAGGATCTTGTAAAACCGCACAAGTGCCATACAAATATCAAACCAAAGTCACAGAATCATCACATGGACAAAACTACTAATGCAACTTCACAGAAGCAAAACTTCTATGTCTATGTAACTAGAAACATAATACACAAGGCTAGACAGTCAGCTCATTGCTGCTTAAACGCATGAGTGCTGTCACTTGGCTTGTAATACAAATCAAATACAAACAAAAAAGAAAAAGCATTTCACAGCTGAATGGTAAAAACGTGGGGTTTTTGAGTTGGATAATCAGGGACTACCACTTTTTTAAAGCATCAATTATTTATAAGTAAGTCACTGGTTCTAAACTGCACTGTTTGCTAATTTCACACAAAATATATACTTCTGCCACCTAACAAATGACAAGCACTGGCATAGTTTTCAATCATATGTGAAAACAGAGGTATAGTAGGAAAAACAAGGGTATGAAGGGACTTAGCAAGGCTCTTTTAAACCACAGAGTTGTACACTGACACACCAAAACAACTGCACAACATTGAAATAAGTACCAGCGCTAATGATAAATGATGCTGCTCAATTCAGGTGAAAAAAAAAAAAAAAAATCAAGTTCTGCACCTTGAATTTTAGAACTCATTTGTTCCCTATTGATTTATATTTTGGTGAAGGACCTGATCTTTGCAAAATAATCGGTGGCTAAGTAACTTAAAAAAATAAACAAGGAAGTCTGCATTATTATGCTTTACACCTTCTCACCAAGTTCTTTTGAAAGTCATGGCTTCAGACCAAGAAAAAAAACATTTCCCACAGACTGAACTTGTACTCTGTTGTGCTTAAATCGTTAGTGAAAGGGGAATTTTGTCTCACCGTGAGTATTCTTTCAGTTCCTACACCAGTCTGGACTCGTATTATACTGTTCTTTCATAACAAGTTGCGATAAAGTTGCTGGAACACTTTGACTTCAAACACGATGTAAAAACAATATCCTCATGCTCCTTTTACACACTTTACAGCAAAAACAAAACCCAAACCATTCAGATTATTTTCATACACAAACACTGCACAGAACTTTCCATTCCGTATACCTTCCTCCAACACATTAGGCATGCCTTTTGGAAAGGGGTTCATTAGGGTTTTAGGTCTTTGTTGGCACAAATTACGTTCTTCCAATGAACATTGCCAATTTAACATTCTCAAAAACTCTAGAAATATACAGCCTTTGTATAGGAACCAAACATGTTTGAGACTTGTGAAAGTCTCGAGTGAAATTATGGTACTTCACTTTTTTTTTTTTTTTTTAATTTCAGAGAAGAATCCTTTTTCCCCCCTCAACATATGTATCTCTCTTGACTCTTGCTGAAGCATAGATGAGGACCAATAGAATCCACATGCCATTCCGCTCCCAGCACACACAATAGGGTACTGTCTGAGCTTTCATCCCTTTCCTAGGCTTTCCTCAATTTTTAAACAAAGCAACAAAGCCTAAGGACATGCTTGTACTTATAGCAGCAAAGGGCTTTTTTTCAGCTCAAACGTCTGTCCCTCCCTAAAATCCTCCCTTCCTCCAAAAGCCACTCAGGTTTTGTATCCCTAGATTGGGATTAAAGACGCCATAAAGCTCAGCTCCTAAGGTGAGTCAACTAACTTTGAACTTTCCCATAGAGACCTCAGATACGGCAACCAGTCACAACAATATTTGCATTACTACTGCAGTGTTTTTTATGAATTAAAATTTTTTTTTATTAAAAAATTATACTACAATTACTATTTTTAAGTGCCTCCATTTCTTACTAGCAGCTCTCCAACACACTTTATGAAGGAGAATCACCCTGCCCTATGGTAGGAGTGCCGAGAGCCTGGAGCTGGTGTTAGCCATGACACTCCTTAGGGCAGAGCTCCTCTCTGCCACCAACTCTGCCACCACCCTTGGTATTAGGCAGCACTTAGTCAATCTGCAAAGACTAACCTGTCCTACTGCTGACTTTAAATTAGCCTGCCAGGAGCTCCAAACTGTGTTCTGGAATCATAACACAGCGTAGACATATCCACAGAAACCCTTGAAGACAAGAATTACATATCTTAAATTTTCTATGGTGCATTAGGAGAAGACACACAAACACACACAAGTTTTTGTGATAAAATTCTGTCATACAGCCCAGAAGATAGGCATGCTAAAATTTTATGTAAACCCAACTGTTCTTCTCCAGCTAGATGACAGCGGAAGCAAGCTATTGCCCTGGTTATCATTTCCATCTATAACAAAGTAATTTGCTTGCTTCTTTGGTATCCAATTCTGGAACTGAAAAAGACCATGCTTTAGGAAGGGTGAACAAATAACGGGGTTAGGATAAACCAAAGTACAGTTTTCGGTTATTGACCTCATCCTTAGATGCCCTACATAACTTGCAAGAGTACCTCATGGAAGAGTATGTCTAAATAGGCTGTTACAAGAGATGCATTGCTGTCACCACATACCTCGGGTATACTAATGTAGTTTTTACCACAGCATTCCCCAGTGAAAACAGGCTAGCATTACCCAGGTTTTAATAGCTGGGGACATTGCTAAATTTAAATATGACCTTCACTAAATTAGAGCAACTTGCAAAAGACTGTCAAATGAGAACAGTGAAAAAACTTCCAGTACTTCCAGGTAGGCAGCAAGGATTCGGAATATTTCCAATGAATCAGATGAATCACTCATTTACAAAGCATATAGACGTAAGATACGGGATTATTTAACTTCTGGGTGATGTTGGTTTGCTACTGAAATAATGAGATACTGCTTTCTGCAACACAATGAGTCTTGCTATTTGAGACAAAGTAGTAATGAAAGCAAAGCAAAGACAAAAAAAAAGTCAGAGTATGACAGGTCTAAGAGAAAATAAATATGAAAGGAAAATAAATACACCCTTCTAACAAGATTCAGTCTCGTTTAGATACATTCAGAGTTAGGAGAATTATCTACTGTATTCAGGGGAGATTTTTTCACAATTATTTTATATCCATGAGTCTTTGAACG